AATCCAAAGCACGGTAGTCAAGATAGGTGATTCATGATGATTTATAGCTCAGATATTATATCATTTCCCTAAATATATAACTTTTTCTGCTGGCTCTATGTTCGTATCAGACAATTAATTTTATATCAGAGAGTTTTTTGTCATAATTAATTTTGATTGTACCCTGGCGTTGAAAATAAAAATAGCCCGCCAACTGCAGAAAAGCCACTCTAGAAATGTCTAACATTTACCTTCATCAGTTTTCATAAAGATGGCTTGATGAATCGATAGATGGATGAAAGATTGCTGGGTGAGTGGATATCTTGATGGATGGAGGGCTATTTGGCTGAATATATAGGTGGGTGGTTGGATAGATGACTGGGTTGTTTGACTGATGGCATGATGAAAAAATGAATATATAGATGTTTGGATAGATAACTTGCTAAATGGAAGACTGAATGGGTAATGGATGACTTGATAGACAGCACAACTAGATAGATGATTAGCTGCTTAGGGGATGGATAGCTTTCTGAGTGAATGAAATGATAGACGGTGGGATAAATTCCTGGATTGTGATTTGTATGGATGGCAGAATAGTTGGATGCATGACTGAATGGCTTGAATAATTGCTGGATGGATCGGTAGCTTGATTATTGGGTTTCTGAACGGATTTGCGGCAGGGTGGATGGAAAAAAAACAACTGGTTGGTTAGCTGTCTGACTGATTGCCTGGACTGATAGGTTGCTAATGGTTGATTAGCTGGGGGCTAACTTAGAGAGAGAGAGAGAGAGAGAGGGGACACTTTATTGTTTCAATATACTTATGCAGTTGCAGAACTGATTGTATAAGAATCTAGTGTACAATATTACGCAATGGTTATATAACATAACAAGAAAAAACATAAATTACTACGAGGTTGAATCAAATATTTGATTTAACAAAATAAATGTCCTTGGATACGGAAAGACTCTCCTTATTGGGTAACAGGGTGTCATCTTTTCCTATGATGAAATTTTTAATCAGAGTTTTTGTCAATGTGTACGGCAGTTTTCGATTAAACAAGGTTCGGATTATTGTGTTAAGGTTCCTGATTGATGTAAATAAGAAAGACTTACGAAGGAAATCAGTTTTACATGTTAAAGGGAACAGTAATGTTCCAGTTCGATGGTTATAGCGGAATTCAGAATTTGGGAATCTTATATGCGTGAAAGCTGGGGCATCGTTTCGGCATAACCTGTGAAGGTAGTGTGCTGATCGGTACTCGATAATATTCCGAGCAGTAGGAATTTTGTGCTGTTTCCTTAGAAGTGTAACGGAATCTCGTTTGCTTATATTCATTATTATCCTGATTCCCCATTTTATTTGTTTTTCGAGTTTCTCAATATTATCTTGCGTACATCCGTTTAAGAGCATGCATGGATAGTGCAAATGGCTCAGTACAAGAGTATTTAACAGGAGAATTCTAGTACGCAGAGGGATTTCGTCACGGATGCATTTTATCGTTTGGATTGCTGTAGCCATTTTTTGTAAAATTTTGTTAATTTCTTTGTCGAATGTTAAGCTTAAGTCAATATTGACGCCGAGAAATTTAACTGTCTCTGTTAAATTAACTTGATAGTTTCCAACTTTCAATGAAAGATTTTCAGTTAGTTTCTTTTTCGACGGTGCAGAAAATACAATGAACTGAGTTTTGTCTACATTAATCATTAATCGATTTAAGTGAAAATACAAGAGAATTTTATTGAAATTGTTTTCAATGCTCTTTGTTGCTGTTTCGGGATCTGAATGAAAACTAAGCAGAGTCGTGTCGTCGGCATATTGTACTAACGTACATGATTTGTCTATTGTTTGTGGTATGTCATTTACATACAAGTTGAACAGCAGTGGTCCTAGTACAGTACCTTGGGGAACAACTTGCTCTAATTTAAGCCAATCTGAGTGTTCGCCGTTTACCATTGTCAATTGCTGTCTGTTTTCTAGAAATGACTTAATAAGAGTTGTTGCTGACTGTTCAAAGCCAATGTGACTTAGTTTCCTTTCAAGGACTGAATGAGAGAGTGAATCAAATGCTTTAGATAAATCAAGAAATGCAGCCGCTGCTATGTTATTTTTATCGAGATGGAATCTGATTTTTTCTGTTGTGTATAAAAGAGCATCATTAGTTGAATAACCTGGACGAAAGCCAAATTGTTTTGGATTTAGAATATTGGATTTAGAATTCAAACAACTTCGATAGAGTGGGTGTAATAGAAATTGGACGATAATTTACTGGATCTGTCGAGTCGCCTTTTTTGAATATGGGAAAAACGTGTGCCTTTTTTAAGGTATATGGGAATACGGATTTCGAGATGCATTCATTGATAATCATCGTAAGAATTGGGTTTACAGTATTAATGCTGTCTTTTAGAGCCCAAGCAGGGATTTTGCTTGGTCCTAATGGCTTGTTTAAGGGAAGTAATAAAATTGCATCTTTCATTTCTTTGTGAGTTATGAACCTGAATTGAAAGTGCCTATTTGTTTTGCTGTGTACACTGTACTCAGTTGGTACATCTATGGGAGGATCTGCGTTTTTGTATTCTCCCAATGTTGAGAACCTGTAGTTAAGGAAATTTGCTTTCTTCTTATTTTCAATTATAGTGTCGCCAAACGAATTCCGTAGATCACCTATTTGCGTTGACTGTTTCATGGTGTTCCTGATAGAGTTTATGAAATTCCATTGTTTTTTTTGGACAGTCAAGCATTTTGAATTGAGCTGTTTTCTCTTTCTTGTATAAATGTTTTAGATGATTGTTTTATTTATTTCTTATTCGTTTATAGTTTTCAAAATTGGCATCTGTTCTTGATAATTGATATGCCTTTAGAAGATTTTCTTTTTCCCGTTTTAAAGGTCTATTGACTGAGTTAAGTACTTTACCAGACAGCTGTAGCTGCGGTTTATTTCGGATATGCTTCTGCTCTAGTGGTGCGTGAGCGTTTAGGGCATGCGAGAAAATATCTTCAAATTTTATTAACATTTTAGAGATATCGCTTCCTTGGTAGACGAGAAACCATGGACTCTGTTTAAGTTCCTCGCAGAACCTATTTTTACAATAATTGGTTTTGTTGAAGCGAAAAGTTCGAATTGGAATGGCTTTTTCGAATCGTTTTAGTTTGCTAATACACATTGTTATTAAATGGTCCGTGTTTATAGGTGGTTCTGCTACAATAGTTTCTTTACAAAGAGATTTGGTTGCTATAATGTTATCTAAAATGGATTGGCTGTTTTTAGAAATGTATGTCGGTATCGACTTATTGGTTATTGTCAAATTGTATGGTTTAATAGAATCGCTGAGAAATTTAGCTTCATGTTTATTCAAGTAGTTAATATTGAAATCTCCCAAAATCGTAACATCTCGCGCTTCGGAGGCAGCGTAATCGATACCCTTTAGTGTATCTTCTATAAAAACTTCCTTGAATTGTTTGTGTGGATTGTAGGCAATAGCAATTATCTGTCTTTTTGATTTTTTTGAGATGATTGGGCTATATTCCACCCAGAGTCCTTCAAAATGGGAGGGACGTAGATAATTTAAATCTTCTCGAATCTTAGGGTTAAATTTTTTCGGAATAAGAAGAAGAGTACCACCACCTGCGTGTTGACCAGTGCATTTTTTGTTACGGTCGCATCTAAAAATTTCATGGGTTGTTTTGCAGAATGAATAAGTTTGATGATCGCATGTTTCGTCAAGCCAGGTTTCCGTAAGACCGATAATTGTGTTTGAGTCAACTATTTCTGACAAAAAACGCATTTCCATGTGTTTGTTCTTTATGCTTCTACAATTTAGAGTTATATATTTGAGGAAGTTGCGGTGTTCCTTTGCTTTGTTTGCCAGGATTTCATATGAAAGTGCGGGACCTGGATTGACTTCGATGTCCCCACATTGAAGAAGCAGGATTTCCAATATTGGGTAATAGACTACTAAAACAGCATTAGTATGGATAGTATCTATTATGGCGTAAGTCATAATTACTACGATTGGTATTCATATAATTGTAGGTTTGATTGTTGCTGAAACCATGGCTCGCAAGACTCTTTGGGTGCTCGGGGCCCCACGAGACTTGGCTTGAACCAGGTTTCATACGATTCCTCTGAGGGTGCGCTGGGCCCCTAGAGTTGGAAGTATTCGGATATTCGGAGAAACAACTCGAGGTGATAAGCTGGATAATGGTAGCACCTTTTCCATGATTGCATTTTTTAAAGTACTAACAGAACGCATCAAATGTACTTCATCAAAGAAGATTGACTGATAGTCGTTTATGCTGACAATTTTATCGTATATAGGAACAATTTGATACTTTTTTTCTTAAATTTATGAGCAATAAGGCTGTTGAATTCAGTTATACGTTTACCACTTACAGAATCGGGTCCCGATTTCACAGGCGGGACTTGGCATATATTGATTATTGTAGGTGAAAACTTTGTCTCAATTTCACTAATGGTGGCGCAAAAAGTTTCAAATATATCATCTACAGTCTTGTGTAGTTCCCTTGTGAGTGAATTGGTGCCGTCCTGGAAGGTTACTGATTTCAGCTCAGTATCGTCGTACTTTTTCACAACTGATTGTTTCTCGCTGCAAAATGACCCGCGGTAAGAATGAACGGCCACGTCTTTGGGCAGCTCCTTCGTGTCAAACTCCGCTAAAAAACTCGAACCAATAATCAAGTTTTGAGTATCAGTGGGGATTACTTTGGCAGCAAAATCAATAGGTGCTCTGAGTCCTTTTGCGTTTTGATTACTGTTTGGAGGATTACTGGATGTTGCTAGTACATTGACAAGGTTATATATTTGAACGTAGTACTTATCTTTTTGTTCGGGATTGAGTTTCGTGAAGTCGTCGGGCAGCATCAGAAGCATTGGTGTTGACATTGTGTGAAGCCAGGAAAATGCCAGGAATAATGGTGCTGTTGGTGTCAAGGATAATATGCTGAAGTTAGTAGTCAGTGCCCAAAGAATGGCAACTAGTGTTTCATCACTCTCTGAAACTATTTAATAAGTTTATCACAACAATTAGGCTTGGTTAGATAGGCAGACGGTTTGATTGTTTTTTTTTTGGTTTGATCATTGAATTCCTTGGGATGAATTTTTGATTAGACAAAACGCTCTTTGGATGAATTGATTGATGGATGGATGAATAGATGATTGGATAGAGTGCCGCGTTGATGGATTGACTGATGGATGATTGGCTGAGAGGATGCAAGATTAGCAGATAAAATGACGATGCTTATATGACTGGTAAAATGGATGCTTGAATGATCAGATGGATGAACGTTTTAACCGATAAATGGATGGCTACATCTCTCCATGCTTCCCATTTCTCCTTAGGTATTGCCTTAAATAATAGCTTATCGTGCTAACATATGCAGAGGCGATTATCCTTATTAAAAAGAACGTAACCATTGTGAATTAAGTGTCACACCCGTTTAGATAAAGCATACAAGTCATTCGTTATC